AATCGATGTGAGCGCGCTGGCCGTGATCGTATAGTGGTTAGTACTTCGCGTTGTGGCCGCGACAACCCAGGTTCGAATCCTGGTCGCTCAAGATTTTTAGTCCGTGTATTTATAAACACTTTTTTAAAAACCACGTTTTTAATGTGTAGCAACGGACTAAAAAGGAGAAAATAAAATACTTAAAAAAAACTTTTTAATAATAATCATTAAAAAAGTTTTAAAAAACCCACGTTTTCTGATTGAACTAAAAAGTAGAAAATAAATGCTATAGGCCCTACATCACAATAATGCAAGCGATCACTCTACTATAAGCGATGAAAAACGTGGGGCGCCGAAGTAAAAGTTATATTACTATTGATTAGATAATACTATTGACTTTTATTAGGGAGCTTGTAGAGAGTCAACAGTATTAGAAACTGTAAGAAAATCACGGCGCCCCACGTTTTTGCTCGCTTATAGTAGAGTGATCGCTTGCATTATTGTGATGTAGGGCCTATAGCATTTATTTTCTACTTTTTAGTTCAATCAGAAAACGTGGGTTTTTTAAAACTTTTTTAATGATTATTATTTTCTACTTTTTAGTCTTTGTCTGTTTGTTTGCATTAAAATCTTGCTATCGATTTTATCTTTTCACTTTTTTTGGGTAAACGAAGACAACTCGTAAAAAGACAACTCGTAAAAAGACAACTCGTAAAAAGACAACTCGTAAAAAGACAACTCGTAAAAAACACGTTGTTTGAATACGTTACTGACTAGAACACATAGATTTGAACCCGCGTCGAGTGGGATAGCAATCGTGTGCCCAACCACTCGACCATATCGTCTCCCCCAAACTGGCCTACCTCCTGTAAGTTTAAACTCGGTTCAAGCTAAATTCTCTGCCCCTAAGCCTGTGGCGACATGTGATCGTTCGCTTCACTGCGCGCGAGGTACGCGTCGCTGGTTTTTTTTCTAATGGCTAGCAGAGGAGAATTATATATATAGATTATATAGCGGTCTAAAATGCTCAATAAAATGTTTCCATTGATCAATTTAGTAATAATAACAATTGAATATTCAATGGTCATCCAAAAGAAAGCTTCCCTGAAAATTTCAGCGCGCTAGCTAACTGGGAAGTGCCAGAAATTTCGATCGCAAGATTTGATTGGAAAGACAAACAAACACACAAACAGAGAAAGCAAGTTAAAGAAAACGTGGGAAAAAACCACGTTTTTCTTGTGGACTAAAAAGTAGAAAATAAACGTGAGTCGGGCAGATGGGTCGGGAAATTTGATGGTGAACGTACCCACGTTTTTTGTCATCAAATGTATGAAAATTTATTTTTTACTTCTTAGTCCACAAGAAAAACGTGGTTTTTTAAAAAGTTTTTTTAAGTATTTTATTAAAGAATGAGCGAAAAATAAAATAATCATAAACAAAATTAACATAGGAAAGCGTGGTCGGGTAGGCGTGCACTAGAATGCTAACCTTGAAAGTCCTGTGTTCAGACCTCGGGGATATGAGAATTTTTAACTGGGAACAGCAACCCATCTAGGAGAGATAACTCCAAAATCAAACAACTGCTGCCTTGCAACTTGTTCTTGGTTTGAAAAAGTTATATTGTGGTGATGTAATGTGTATGAAAGGTGTATACCAATATGTGAGGGTGCCAGGAATCTCGTACAGAGTTTCTTCCAGAAACAGAATTTCCGGGAGGGGGGGGGAAGGGGGGCGGACGGCGGACACTGTTAAAAGTATATTTTTATTTATAAATTCCATTTCTTTCGGGGGGGGGGGGGGGCGGTAGACTCTATTCAAATAGATGCCTGGACGAAACACTGATCTCGTATGGAATACACCAACAACTCGGAAAAATAAAAGAGACTGTTGTACCTATGCCTAAACTCAGCTTTTACTGACTCGTTGGAACTTGAGATTTGTGGGCTAGTAGTCAAACGCTCTACCATTTGACCACGCCGTACCGTTCACTCACCTTTAGGTAAGCCATTTATTAACGACAAAACAAGAAATACATGTTAAAAAAAACAAACAACATAGAGCTATGCTATGCTAATCATTATTATTGCTGTTTGTTTATGTGTCTGTCGTGCAGTTAAACGAGCTACCATTCGACCACACCGTCACATTCAACACACATTTAGGAAAGTCATTTTATTAACGACAAAACAAGACACAAATGTAAATAACAAATGCGCATAGACGTGTGTTATGATACTCTTGTATTGCAGTTTGATAATACAACTGTCGTATAGCTAGCAGCCAAACGGTCTACCATTCGACACCCCCGTCCAATTCAGAAACCTTTAAGGGAAGCCATTTTATCAACGAAAAACACAAGACACTAATGTAAAAAAAAAAAAAAAAAAAAAAAAAAAAAAAATTAAAAAAAAAAGTTTATGTGTTTGCTGTACAGCTAGCAGTTAAACTTTCTACCAATCGAATACGACATCCCGTTCACAAACCTTTAGGAAAGCCATTTTATCAACGACAAACTATATAAACAACAAACAAGCATAGACGTGTGTTATGATGCTCTTTTATTGCTGTTTATTTATGTGTCTGCTGTACAG